TTTCTGAGTTCAATGGTGATCTAATTTTTCCATCCACCCAATTTTTTTATCATTTGCTGTTTGCCACAAATATGAGATCTGTCATGGGCTCCTAAATCCATATTATCTATCAAAATTCTTTTAGACACCTCAGCCCACAGCCTTCATTGCAATGCCAGACTTGCTACATTCCTAATTAGGTTTCACAGCATTTTTCGTATCTCCATTTTTGGGAAATCTGCTCACATGTTATTTTGTCTTTTTATATTCCTATAAGGCTTTCTATTTGTGTAAAAATCATTTTTGGAACATTCTTGAAATCCAGGAACATAAAGGATACAAAATAAATGCAGGTGTAGTGAATTGATGAGTGAGTCCCATCAGCCACACAGGCTTGCTTCATAATGGGCTTGCTGTTCATTCTCACTGTCGCTACCTCCTCTTAGCCTTATCTCTGCTAGGTAAGCGTGTCTGTATAGCTCACCCTTCCTAGCATAATCATCCAGCTTCCTTCAGCATGTCTTCTTCCTCCTCCTTTGTAAGGAATTATAACACCTTGTCCCTTTAATTAGGTCATTCACTCATCTAAATAAATAATTTCTTTCCACTCCCTCTTGTTTATAATGCTCACTCATATCCCACCCACAATACTTATATTAATTTTTTAATGCCTCCTTCTTGCACTACTTTTTCAAGTCTCTAGTATTCATGTCTTCATAGTTTGAAAGACCTGGAAGACTGTCACTCTACCTTAAACTCTTTTGTATTTTCATTCTTGGAAATTTGTTTTTTAAGACAAAAGAAAATCATTTATTGTACCTGTACATAAAAATATAAACTTCAGACACTTCAATTCATAGAATATCTTTATGACCTTTCCTTACCTTTGAGGCTCACAATGGAGTCATGAGTGTATGGATTCTGTCTGCAGACTGTGACTGTTCTACTTCCTGGAGCAGTTTGCTTTATTTGATGCCTTCACATATGTTCTTCCTGACTGTGAGGTTTTTCATTCCTTTCATGCCTTCTTCATTACCTGGGATGTTTTTAAGAAATTACTGATAACTGAGTCCCACCATGAAAGCCGATTCATTGAGTTTTAGTTGGGGCCAGGTATTGCCATTTCATTTTTTGCCAAGTTCTCTGTGATTTTTAAGAGACATTTAAGTTTAAGAACCATCAGTTACACTACTCTACTTCAAAGTATTAGTAATTAGTAAAGCAAAAGTCACATATGTAATACAATGTATTCCATGCCATGCAGCTTTATATTTCTGCTTTAGTTGAACATTGTGGAATGTATAAATAAATTCTGTGTCAGTAGATCTAATGTGATATTGAAGGATGGTGGGTAATATTTGTCCTCTATCTCTCCCTCTCCAGTAACTCTCTCTCTGTGTGTGTGTGTGTGTATATATATATATACACACACACACATAACATATTCATCCATGAATTATCTGTCAGAATAGGGTGCCCTACTAATTTGGCTCATGTTGCCAATGTAAACATTTTGTCAAAAGAATTGTGTTATTCAAAATGAGCAAATAGAATTTAAAAGATAATGTCATAATGCTGATGCTGTACTGTAGAGTTCTAATGGAAAATTTAAGATATGGCTAGGGCTGGTGATCGGCCTAGTGATTAAGATGGCAGTGGAATGATAGTGTACCAGTGTGTGCAAGTTCAAACTATGACTTAGTGCAATTCCAGCAGCCTGCTAACATGCAACCTAGGAGGCAGAGGTATTGGTTCTATTAATTGAGTACCTACCTAGTATGACATGGGAGACCTGAGTTGAGTTACTGGCTATAGGACTCTGCAGATATTTGGAGAATGAATCAACAGATAGGAGTTTTCTTTCTCTCTCTCTGGCTCCTGCCAACCCCCATCTTAAAAAAATATTGTTTTAAATGTGGACAAAAGTGATGGTGATACTAGTATATGTTAAGTGATAGTTTTCATTTTGGATTATTGTTGTGAATTATGTTTTCATTCCTTCAGATACTATTTCAAATGAAAACTTTTTATTCAAAAAAAGCATTAATGAATCTATCTTCAATATGTAAAAAGATCTTAATGTGTAACTAGATCTTAATATTTCTAAATTCTAATATTCTTTTTCTTTAAAGTAGCCACAGTTGGGGTGGATATTTAACCCAGTAGGTAAGCCGCTGCTTGGGATGCCTGCATCCCATGTAGGAGTGCCTGAATTCAAGTCCTGGTTCCAGTTTTCCTTCCAGTTTCCTGCTAATAACCACATTTGGAAGCAAAAAGGTGATGGCTTCAGCATTTGAGTCATTGCCATCCATGTGAAAGAATCAGAGTCAGTTCCAGGCTACTGATGTCAGCCTGGTTCTGCCCCTGCTGTTGTGGTCATTTGAGGAATAAAAGAATAACTGGGGGATCTCTTCTCTTCTCTTCTCTTCTCTTCTCTTCTCTTCTCTTCTCTTTCGCTACCTTTCACATAAATAGAATTTTTTTTTTTAAAAAAAGCACAGCTGAATCAAGTAGAAAAGCTAGAAATGCATAGATTCTTATCAGTATATATTATAGAATAATAATTTTGACATTTTACCTTATAAATGTAACCTATCTCCTGTCTTCTGCTATTTCATCATTCTTTAAGTGAATCAAACATTTAAGCAGACTCTAACCTTTACCCAATTTTTTTTTTTTAATTTGATAGATCGACAAACAGAGAACAAGCTTACGTTCACCAGTATATACCCCAAATGCCTGCAACAGCAAGGGCTGTGCTAAGGCCAGAGCCAAGAACTAGGAAAACAATCCAGGTCTCATCCCATATGAGTGATGGGAACCCAATTGCTTGATCTGTCAATAGAGTCTCTCAGGGTTTGCATTGGCAGGAAGCTGCAGTTAGGAGCCAAAGTTGGGAATCAAACCCAGGCACTCTTACATGAGACATGAGCATATTAACTACTAGGGTAAATTCCATTTCTGTTTTATACTTTTCCCCAAAAATGAAGCAACATTTCTCAGAATTTCTTACTTTTCTTTTCTCAAGTTATTAATAATAAATTGTAGAGTTTTGTATTCACCTGGAGCTTTCTTCTTAGGTTGATTCTAAATTATTTGAAAGTCATTAACAAGAGATCTTCTTTTATGTGTATATACTATATATATATATATACACACACACACACACACACACACATATATATTTAACCCATTGCTAGGTCTTGAAGTAATAGTATGTCTGTATGACTTTAGGAGTTCCACATTTTGCTATTATAATTTTATTCGTTACTAGTCTTTGCTGAGTGCCTTCTGTATGCAGAAAAATGTAGTCTTGTTTCTGAGGTGAGGTCAATGACATCAATCATAGCAGTTAGTTGGGAGTAATAAATGGGGAACATATTAAAAGACAATATGAACACACAAGGTAAAGCATGGTATAAAAGGTGATTTCTATATCAACTTACAAATAAGGTGTAATATCACAATAATATTACCACAGAGAAATAAGAGAATAATCAATGAAATAAGGATAATGATTCTAGTAACTTTATTGCCAGTAAGTTGTGACTTACGACCTGTCTGCTATTTATATTAGTAGCACCTCATAATTGCTTTTGAATATTACAGTCTGGATTCAGTGAAATATTACAAAAAAGATAATGTGACTTAAGTGTTTCTCCATTTACATTTAGAGTCAGCCTTTCTAAGAGTTTCATTTTGAATTAGAATGAAAAAGATGTAAAGATTGTAGGTACACTCCAATAAGTGCATGAATGATGGGTTCTGTCTTTCATAACAATATAAAGGGATGATCTGTAGGAGAATGTGTTTGTCTTTACAAAAGTCAATGAGTAAATTAGGGAGAAATGCCACATTCTTCTTAGGTTTCTTATTAATAACTTACCATATTTCCTAGTCCCAGTTGTGATTAGACATTTGTACCATAAACATTCTGGTTGTAAATTTGAAAAAAGAAAAGCTTCTTTACCTTCCCACTTTTATTCAACATTATTTTATGGTTTGTAGTAGAAAAAAAGTGTGAGTTATAAATTTTAAAAAATACATACTTATGCCACTTTCACATTCATTTATGAGCTGAATATATGTGATTATTGCCAAGAATAGTCTCACACAGACAAGACAGACCATTTTTATGTTGTTTTTCCAAATCATTATTTTTATGTAGCCCTGTCAATACATAGCATTAGCTCATTTCATTTAGTGGTTGAGATAATATGCAGACTCTAGACATAGTAAATCATCAGTCCATGTGTTGTCAGTAGCATAGCCAATAGTGAGCTCCCACCGGGAACTTTTGCCTTATTTTGTATTCAAATTAAAGACAGTTTGTGATTTCACTTTTTGAACCAATTACAGATATAGTAAACACATAAAATTAAACTTTTTAGTTTATTTTGCATTCACCACTTAAGAAAAATTTTGTCTGTTATTTCAACATGACCCTTAAATTTCAAAGTCAGTAGGTAATATTTTCTGTAGGAATAAAGAAATACATTGCAATTTCCTAGCATGGCATCAAAATTCTTATTTGTCAGGTGTACTTATAACTGTTTGTCAAATGCCAGCACACTAGATTTTAGGGGTTTGCAAGATATGAACAAAGTATTTAAAAATGGTGTTTTCTTACAATGGATTAGTTAAATATCTATTGCATTCCCAAATCACTGGTGCTTGTTTTATGGAGTCTACGTATGCAAAACCTATTTGAAGACTACAGAACAGAAAATGTTTTATTATGCGGAACTAACGTCAGATTTATATGTGTTTTTTAGTGAAATTGCTATTTTCTTATCTGTGTTTCGGAAAAGGACTTTTTGGTTTTCCTTTAATATAATTGACTCTCTAGGCATTGTCTCAGATAATACCTAGGTAATTAACCAAATAGATTTCAACACCTGTAGCCATGTTGTATTGAATAGTTGTCCATAGACCTTAATGTATGTAATGTATGTATTTTTTGAAATGAGATCGTTGCCAATCTTGTATCTTAGTGACATTCAGAATCTTTTCTTTTGCAGCCATTTCGTAGAGTGACGTTTTCTGTTGTGAGTCAGCCTCAGGACCCACATCAGGGGTCACTGCAGAGTTGCTATGACAGCGGGCTGGAGGAGTCAGAAACACCAAGCAGTAAGAGTTCATCAGGGCCAAGACTGGGTGCCCTTCCACTCCCAGAGGACAACTATGAAAGGACCACGCCGGATGGCAGTGTTGGTGAGGCAGAGCATATGGAAAATGGTAGGGGCAAACACAACATCCACACACATCATCACGCTAGTGAGCCGTAATCAATAAACTCGTGAAGGTCAGTCTAAAACCAAAATAAAATAGCGGACACCAAAACTATTTTATTTTAAATAATAGAGATGTGCTAAAATTCAGAAATGCTAAATAAAGGAACATAACTGTATAGATAAATGTCATCAAAACTGCACCATCATTTTAAAATGCCTGTCATAAATAAATGGATATAGAAATACATCAGAGTAGTGCCTGCTATGAAAAACTCTAAATTAGTACACAATTCCTCAACCAAAGCCAACGAGAAAGGTCGGGTCTAATGGTTTACTTCTGTTCATTTTTGTCATGCAACTATTTCTTCAACTAGAACTCTCCAGTTTAAGTGAAAGGAAGTGGCAAGAAACACACCTTGCTTCATGTTTTATTTTCCCAGATATTTGGAAAGGCATTTTTCAAGCCTCTCTTTCCAAGGGAGAACGGAAATGGAGTCAAAGCAGAACAGTTTTATCTTGTTCTCCCTAGTATAAAGTACATGCTATTTATCAGAAGTCCCTTCTCACTTAAGTATAAAGTTTTCTCATTTTTGTTCAAGAGAGAGGAAGGAAAACATATCATAATATTCCATATTCTATCCCATTGTGAGAGGATTCTCTAATACCACAATTGCATTTATATACATTTTCCTTTCAGTTGTAAAGTTAGATTGAAAATTATGCTGTAAACATCTTCACATATTCCCAAAGATGATTGGTGATTTACTTTCTGGATTTCAAGTCATAATTATATGCCTGAGGAGTAGATTTGTGTCAAATAATGGAATGATAAAGTTCTACCTAACTTCATTATTATTTCAAATATTAAAAGAATATTTACATAGGGAAAGAAGGAAGAATCACACACATACATTTTATCTCTAATGAAAACTCGAAATGGATTTGTGTCTTTCACCCAAGTGAAATAAGACATTTTAACTTTTTGTTATATGCCAATTTCTTTATTAATGACATGCATATAGAGCACATTAATGCAGAGAAATACTGAATTTTTTTCTGGAAATTTGCCTATGAATATTGAAATCCAACATTAGAGAGCCATGTGTCATAAATGACCCAAGTGAAAGCATTGCTAAATTAAATCATGCTAAATATTTATCTGCATTGTTATTAAGTGAGAGGATGTGACATCAAAGTCTGATGACTGATGTCTCTCCTGACTAGCAGAGTGCAAATGACATTTTGTCTTATGGCTATAAAGGCATGCTTATCTGTGTGTATGGTAGTTTGTGCTTATGGGGATGGGAGTTTGATGTGGCTTTAAGGATTTAACGATCTGAGTAACTTTCTAAAATGAGTATAAAGTTTTGGTGTGGATTGCAATGCTGATGATAATATATGTAAGGCAAGTATGTTTAAACTACTTAACAAAAAATAAAATTTAGTTTAAAAGTACTGTAACTACATATATATGTATATATTTCAAATGCTAGTAAGACTCAGGATTTAATTAAGAGATATTACTATATCTTTTGATGATAACATATCATTTTACTTTGTTTTAAAACGTGCTTGTTTTTATTATAAACAACAGTATGCACAATTAAGTATTTTTTGGATGTCACATATATAAGTAGAAAGGACTTTGTCCCACTGGCATAATAATTGCATTTTAATGTTATTTTCTATTTTGTGAATTTATGGGGATTCAGTAACTTTAAAATATGAAAGGAATGCTAAATCATCAAATCATAAACATATTTGACAAACATAGGAAACATACAGGTTATGAAAACTTAATAGGTGAGCTTAGCGAGATAACAGAGTTTTCACTGAGACACATATCCAAAAGAAGGCTTTTAGTTTTTTCTTTTTTTTAATAACCATGTTTTAAGTCCTCTCAACGCAAGCATCATTATAATATAGCTGATTTTCCCTGGTTTTATACATGACTGACACTTGAAATTTAGTTTCTGTAATCATTTGTCATAAGGCTGTGATTCATGTTAGACCTGATCTATAGGTGGTGACAGAAAGCAAATGTGAAACACTTTGGGTAATCCAAATGCAGAAGTTGACACTGGAGTAAAGTTTTGCTGGGTTCAAGTGTTCAGATTACTCATCTAATTGCAATGTATGGTTGTATTGCCTGAATTTTGCTCATTTCATTTTCAGGATTAATGGGTCATTCTGACATAAATAGAATTGAAGTTGAAACATGTCAAGTATTCATTTTTCACATTTAATTTGCATCTTGGTAATCTGCAGTGTTTTGCTTGGTTAGGTTATAATCAGGATTTATACTGGATTTTCATTTGGTCTTCCTATGAAAGTACCATTTTGGATATTCTTCTAGTTCCTATTAATATAACCCCCAACATTTTCCTTCAATTTAGCCTATGTGATACAATGCAGTTAAAAAGAACTGTTTGGCATTAACTTTTGTTGAAAAGGTTAGAAGATAGTTTCCAGTGTGATAGCATATAACATTCCAACATCATGATACAAACTAGGGATTAATCAAGATAGCTAATGATAGAAATAAGCTGTCAGAGATGCTGTGGCAATGAAGTAACTGAAACAAAATAATTAAATAAGTAGTGAAATTTATTTACCTTTTCTGAAGGCTTTTATCTGCCTTTGTAGTTTACCATAAAACAAAGTTTCATTAAGACAGCCTAAAGGCACAATTCTCTTTTCTACTAGCTTTACCCTATATTTTGATCCACATTACTCCCAAATAAAGAATGAGGTTTTATTTTCTTATTAGCTGAGAAAAAGAATCTACCATAAGAATAAATATAATGTAGAATGAAATCCACCAATTTGAACTTCTAAATTTGTGATAATTATATCCTTTAGGTCTCTACAAAGTAATAATTGAAATTATATCATTTAGAAAATATTTTAAGAAAACTGTATGAATTATGCATATACTCATGACAAAGACCACTAAGGTAGTTTTTTGCCTTTAATTATCAGCATGATTATTACATACTAATCTGTTGAGGGCTATCATTGAGTGATTTGTTATTCATTAGTGGAATAGCAATATTTTAAAGTATGGAGTCCATGGTTGTAAGTTGATAATATTAAAATATTTGATAACAAAAATACTAAAATTGAAATATATTGCAATGAATTTATGATTCAAGTGAAAGCCAAACATCACGCTTTAAAACACCATCATGCTAACGGCAAATATTGACTACATGAATGCATTCCCTTGTCTTGATTATACAGTAGGCTTCAGTCTTTCTCCTGAAGTGGTGTTTAACACCTTCTTTAGAACTGAGCTAAATATTTATCTTGGTCCCTGCTTTCATGCCATGATCTACTTATGCTTTCCAAAGCCCCTTCTGAATTATCTTTGCAAAGGTGGCTTGTCTTTGCTATATATGGCTTGATCATATCCTAGTGTTTAATAAGCTAAGCTACAGAAAACACTCAACTTGGCATCTGTCCGAACTTTGCCATCAGCATTGGGTAGGTCAAACATTTTTTTCTCTTTCTGCTTCTGATTCTCTGTAAAGCAAATGAATAAATTAACTCTGATATCTTACCCAGCAATCTGATTTTCCCTTTGCATTCAATTTTCCTTGTATCTTTTACTCTACAAAATAGAAAGACCATTGTGTCTCTTAGTGAGATGGTGATTAAATTTGATGATGTGTGTTAACGTGGGCAGGACAGAAGTAATTCTAGGGCCTTATCTCAAATCACATAACATTTGTGCATTCCAATAGTAGGGCATGCATTTACTACATAAATCAAGGCAGTGGACCAAGTCAAGTGGTGTGAATGTTGGTTAGGTGTATAAAAATGTTTGCACCACAGCAGATTAGTGTAAGACAGTGCAGGAGCCTCCCATAATTCCCAGTACACAAGAGCCATTTGTAGATCTGATCTAAGCCCCTGCTCCAATGTCCTGCTCACAGTAGAATAAACACATTTACTCTCTTTGCATGCTAATGTAAACTGTGATCAGATTAAGAATGAAAAAACAGGAAACAGCAATATGTACATTTTGGGAGGCAAACTTAATGAGAACATGCCATAATAAGAATATAAAATGGAAAAACAACAGATAATACATGCCAGGTTTTAAACAGTTAAATGAGTTTAGAAATTTGGCCACTCTAAATTCCAGATTAATTTTATGTCTTTTGATTTTCTCAAATCTTTAAAAATTACTATTGGCTTTTATATACTAGTACTTTTAAATTTGACACTCCCAAATTTCTTTTTTCATACTTTTAAGGTAGGCCCTTAAAAGTCTTTTGTTTATTGTCTCTACCTCATCTTGCCACTCTACATATTTTAAATAGTTTTAGAGTGCCTGTCCTTGATAATTAAAAAACATGGTGCTGTACATTATGAGATCATTTTGTGTCTACCATGAATTTTTTATATTGCCTTTTAAATACAAATGACAATATATTTAAAATATAACTGGGGAAGCTGGCATTGTGTGGCAGTGAGTTAAGCTGTGTCTTATGATGACTGCATTCTATATATCTTATATCGGAACGCCAGTTCGAGTTCCTGTTAGTCTGCTTGCAATCCAGCTTCCTGCTAATGTGTTTGGAAGGCAACAGATGATGGCCCAAGTACTTGGGACGCAGCCACCCATGTGGGAGAGCTGAATGGAGCTCCTGGTTCTGGGCTTCAGTTTAGCTCATTCCTGGCTGTCGCAGCCATTTGGGGAATGAAGCAGTAGATGAAAGATCTTTCTCTCTCTTCATCTCTCCCCCTCTGACATGCTAACTTTTGAATAAATAGATAAATAAATAAATAAATCTTTAAAGAAGTACGTACACACACACACACACATATATATACACACATATATATATATATATCATTGAGAATGAAACAGCACTTTATGTGACCAAAGATTATGAGAATAAAGATTAAACTCTGCATAGATTAAAAGACTCTTTCTCTCTCTCTCTTTTTCTCCTGTCTGCACAATTCCTAAGCAGGCATTTGTAAGGTACTGTC